GTTTTTATTATTTGGTTTACGCTATGATTGAAACACTGAATTGTTTTCCATTAACTCTATATATAAATTGTTTTTTAAATTTTTAATTATATTTAAGTATTGATTGATATCTAAAGAGTAATTGTTTTACAACAGAAATCGACTGTCAATTCATTCCAAGACTTTATGTTATTATAATATGTATTCATATCATAGCGTTTGTAAAGACATATAACAGACTTTTTTCAATCATAGTTAGGATTTTAATTGAATAATTGATTCAAAATTATTATATATTGTAATTATTAATCGTATTTAAAATTTTCTTATTTTGTTAATGAGTGGCAGAAAAAAAATTATTTACTATTAAAATGTAAACTCAATTTAAAATTCAAGTATAGCAACGATATTATGGATAATCATTATTACAATTATTGATAACAAATTAAACACATATTTAAACAAAATGATGAATTGATTGTCGCATACGATTCACTCAATCGCTGTTTTAAATTATATTAATATTTGAAGCGATTTAATGGAAATGAATGTCTAAATTAATTTATATATCTGTATCTGAAGTCCACTCTATAATAAATGCTGACCACTAGTCAAACCTTATCTTTTGTGATGTAAAGCCTAAAACTCATAACTTATTAGTTAATTATGTGGTAATCAATGAAATTGTTTTTGAAAAACGCATTCATTATTGTTATGATGTATACAATAAAACCCCACAACAAGTGTAGCTAAAGATATTTCAATTCAAAACAATAAAGTTATTCCAGAATTAAATGAATTACTTTTTTCTCCTTTTTATCACTAATTTTCAAACTTTATTTCAAAACATTTCTAACGAAGAAAATGACTCAATAGTTATGTAAATCAAGTGTCGCTTATAATGGCATTACAGTAATGGCATTATTACATGCATTTGAGATACACTTAATTAAAACGACCTAAAAATACAATGACTTTAGTTATGCTATGAATGAAGTTATAAGTCGTGTCCCGGATATTGATAGTGCTTTCTGAAGGGCCAACCGGTTCTCGTGGTGTGAGTGACAATCCATTTGGTGCGGACATCGATCACCTTTTGTCGCTGTTTATGTCTGGGATGTGTATTACACAACACCCACCACCGGTCGTCCACTTTCTTGAAGTAACAGTCACTGCATCTGATCTTCAGTATGTCTTTGTCTTTCAGTCCACGCGTTTGTGTCCACCAAATAGGCGTCAAATTGGCCACCAATCGGTCCGACGGAACCGCTTGTCTAAGACATTGGTTTGACTGTTGACTTATAGCAGACAATCGACTTATAAGTTGTGGCAAACGAAACAACATTTGTATTCAATTCTCCGTATAATTAACGCTTCAATTGATATCTGCTTTGAGAGTGAGATAAGAGAGGATTTGAGACCAAAAATTAAATTTTATTATTGATATGAAATGACATCAAAATTGTTGTCTAATAAGGAGAGGAAAGAAAGAGGAGAGAAAGAGATAACAAATAATTAATATTTTGTTATCAATTGAGCGAAAAAGAGGTGTTTTTATTAATTAAAGGAAAGTTTCTTTTGTTATTTATAAAGCGTTTATTGAATAAACTTTATTAGCATTGAATTCAATGCAAACCAAACGCTTTGTAAATGCATTTTGAATCACATTTTCTTATAGTTTGTGTAATCAATAAATCATGTGTTCATTCAATACACGCCTTCATTATTCACATCCAAACACTTACTTAGCATTCAATGACATTAAAGCAAATGATATTTCAATTAATTTGATTCAAATATCAAATCAATTTTAATCGCAAAGTGTTTTACAATTGATTACAAAATAAAACTATTGATATTAATAAACAAACCAAACATTAAATGCTATCGTTTTGACCGCTATTTCTGTAAATAACGTAACATTTTATACAATAATTGCCCACAAATTATAGCTAAAAATCATTAGATTTATTACACATTATTCACACATTTATTGTATTGGTTTATGAATTAAATTGAATGAGTGTTTTATGATTGAGTCGACAATTCATATATACCTGTCATATAATTATATGATTTAATTAATTAATAAAACAAACCTATAATTTATAATTACTTTTTATGATAACGTTATAAATTGAATGACACGATAGAGACCGCAATTCAGTGCCTTTTCATACGAGTAATGCGTGTATTGAG